AGGCTTCCTGCAGAGCAGGGAGCCTGATGCGGGGCTCGATCCGAGGACCCTGGGATCATACCTGAGCCGAAGACAGATGCTTAACGACTGAGCCACCCAGGCGCCCCCAGGCTCAAAAATATTCTAAAATATGGCAGCTTAAAATGATCATGATGGAAGAACCTGGTTTTTCTGTTTCAGTAGTAAAGTTTTCCTAAGCCTTGTATATGGCTGCATCCTAACATCCTATGTACAGCATGGCAGTTTTGTTGTTCATCATTTTAATCTGTATGTGATAGTATAAGGACTCATTTACTAAGTACTAGATGCACTAACCCTCTAGTTCAGAAGATTTAGAGTCTAAGATGTGGAGAGACACTCTTAAAATGTGGGCATCTGGCAAGGCTTATGGCTATAGAAAAATAAGAATAATTTTGAGTAGGAATTTGTTTTCAAAAGTTTGAAAATGTGTGCCCAGGACTTACTGAATGAAATAAGCATCTAAAGAAGCCTGGTGGTGTGTTTTCATTGTTGAAGCGCCCTCTTGTGGCTAGTCTATATGGGCTTCATTTGTATATGTTTGTGTGTATGTACATGTATATATATGTATAGATATTTCCAGATTGCTTTTCATCTTAACAAGAACAAAGAATAGTCAAAATGAAGGCACAGAGTTTCTAATATGATTTGAATGAATTTTATTATCTTGGTTCCAAGTCAGTTTACTTTTGTTTCTGTTTTCTATGTATTTTATTTTATAAACAGTTTTATAGAATTTTATAAAAAGAGAAAATGTTTAAAGAGCAGAGTGTCTTACAATTTACCTTTCTTTCCGTTGCTTCTGGAAAGTGAGGGATCTCCATGGCTTTAGAACTGCATAGGCAGCATTTCCGTGGGTCATCTTCTAACACTGGCAGAGGGACAGTGTTTTAAATGTTGTCAAAATGACATAATTCTTCAATTCTTTAGTAATTGCTTGATATTTTCCTTACAACCACAGTGATGATTCAAGCAGTGACACCAATGACTAGTAAGACCCCACCTTGGATTTCTACCAAAGCCACCGTATCCACACTGTCTTTCTCACTTGTGTGTTTCCCTCCCATTTTCTTTATGAAGTGATTGGTGACCACATTAAGGGCTGTGGGGCTCTGGTTTTAGTCTTGGCCACAGAATGTGCTTTCAGGGTTGTGTCCTCAATGTGAAGGTCTGCAGTGCCCTGTGTTCCTTTGGGGAGCCCAGGAACATTCATTAGGCCCTTTACTGGCATCTGGGATCACCATATCTTCTTTAAGAATCCAAAGAGAAGGGCACCTGGTGGCTCAGATGGTTAAGCGTCTGCCTTCAGCTCAGATCTTGATCCCAGGGTCCTGGGATCAAGCCCCCATCGGGCTCCCTGCTCAGCAGGGAGTCTGCTTCTCCCTCTCCCACTGCCCCTCCCCCCTGTTTGTGCATGCTCTCTCTCTCAAATAAATAAATAAAATCTTTAAAAAAAAAAAAAAAGAATCCACAGAGATATGTTTCCCAAAACAAAGAATGCAACTTAGATTTTTAACATTTTTTAGTTTCATGTTGCTGCTTTGGTGTCTGGCAGCTAAACTTCTGGCAGGAAACAAAAATCTGTCCAGTCCCTGGCTCACAGTTGTTTAAATACAGATGGCTTGAGGAGAGAGAGAGAGAGAATAAGGATTGGTTGGGTCCTTATACTTTAAAATAGACAAAAGAAACATTTTTTGGTAATTTTGAACTTTTTAATTCTCATTTACAGCTATATTTTAATATTACCTTGATAGTACTTTCATTTCCACAATTCATGTCAACTGATGTACTTACTAATCACTTACTGTGTATTTAGAACTCTGCCACATGTGTTAAACTGGCTGAAGGTAAACTGCTTTGATGAGAGCCAGAATTCCTTTAAAATGTGTTTGTGTGTGTGTGTGCGCGCGCACGCACCTAATCTATTATGTCTTTTTTTTTTTTAAGATTTTATTTATTTGTTTGACAGAGAAAGATACAGTGAGAGAGGGGACACAAGCAGGGGGGGAGCGGGAGAGGGAGAAGCGGGCTTCCTGCTGAGCAGGGAGCCCGATGCGGGGCTCGATCCCAGGACCCTGGGATCATGACCTGAGCCGAAGGCAGGCGCTTAACAACTGAGCCACCCAGGCGCCCCTATTATGTCTTAATATATGTATGCTTAATGTGCATATCCACATTCGCATATATACACACATTCATACATAAGCAAGCATGTCCTTCAGACGCATGTTACCACTTTGTGTTAAATTATTGGGAGATACAGAAAGGTTACTATAGTTATGGGGGCGCCTGGGTAGCTCAGTTGTTTAAGCAACTGCCTTTGGCTCAGGTCATGATCCCAGGCTGCATTGGGCTCCCTGCTCAGTGGGGAGCCTGCTTCTCCCTCTCCTGCTCCCCTGCTTATTCTCTCTCTCTCTAATAAATAAATAAAATCTTTAAAAATAATAAAATAAAACTATAATTATGGCACATTGTACTACCTATTCAGATATCCATGGCCTAAAGAATGTTAGGAAGTTGACAAGAAGAAATCATTTAAGCTCTGTTTCTTTCTCTTACGTGTTTTGGTTGTGGTTTACTCATTTATTTATTTTTTGTATAGTTTAATCATTTAGAAAAATTTCAGTGACTACCTGTAAGATTTTGCTAGTGAATGCAATACATGAACTTCATAATGTTCATTTAGTTTTAAAGTTTTATTAGATTACAGTAGAATTGATCTGTGATCCTTCCAGTACACAAGGACTTTTTCCTTTTAGCAAATATGAACCTCAAGATCACTAGGCAGAGAATGCAGTTAATTCCCTTTGGTATATAAAACCATTTTCCATTTGTTACAGGAATTCAAAATATGAAAATACATATATGTATATAATTGAACTTTAATAAGTATGCTTTTAAAGGCTAATTTCATCATACCAATTACCCAAACTATTACAATTTTTAAATCAAACAAGAACTTTATGAAGATACTTCGTGTTTCTGTAGTTTTGATGTTATAAAGGCTAAGAAGTAGTAGATATAGGAGGAGTTGCATTAGTAAATATGTAGAAAATCTGCAAGAGGAGAAGAAAAATGAACATTTTAAAGTATTTATACTGTTAACATACATGACGAGTTTGCTTTTACCATGTTCTCAATTTTGTAAAATTCTCTTGAGTTTTTATTCATCTACTGGACAAATATGGATTGAGTATATACTCTGTACTGTTGCTGGCTGTACTGAAATAGGTACAGTAGACATAGCCCCTGCCTTTGAAGTAGGAAGGACAGAAGCAGAAAGAATAATGAGTACTTATCAGGGTTGTTACAAGTCATAAGTTGAATGCATGTTTCCTCTGATCCTAACACACACACTTCTTTTTTTTTTTAAAGATTTTATTTATTTGACAGAGAGAGACACAGCGAGAGAGGGAACACAAGCAGGGG